CTGTTTTACAGGACTCCAAAAGGCTTCTTTTCCAGTGGAGTGATAAGAGCAAAATATTCCCTGCTTGTGAACTCTTCAATGAGCTGAAACTAAGTGATCTTGGGCTGAGTACTTGCCCTGGGTAAGGTCCCAGAGGAGCTAAGAAATGGGGAGATTAGGGGAGATGAGTTGAAAAATACAGTACCAGGAAGGCTCTGGGAAAAAAACAACGACATTTCCTACAGTGAGCCCTATTTATAACAGCCTAACACAGGGTCGTTCGAATCCATCCTCCTTTATCATCAATAAATATTTACTGAGACTACTTGGTGCACAGGATCCCATACTTATCCACTGGGGATATGAAGTCAGTCAGTTGGCTAATAGCATTTATTTAGTTCCTACCATATGTCAGGCACTGAGTTAAATGCTGATGATACAAAGAAAGGGAAAAGAAAACCCCTGCCTGCAAGGAGGTCACAGTCTAATGGGGGAGACAACATGTAACATCTATGTATGATCATGATATAGACAAAAAAATAGTCTCTAAAGAAAGGCACTGAGGGCAGCGAGGTGGCGCAATGGATAGAGCACTGGCTCTGGAGTCAGGAGAACCTGAGTTCAAATCCAGCCTCAGACACTTGACACTTACTAGCTGTGTGACCCTGGGCAAATCACTTAACCATGACTGCCTCACCAAAAAAAAAAAAAGACACTAATGTTAAGGAGGACTAGGAATGGCTTCTTGCAAAAAATAGGACTTCAGCTGAGGCTTGAAAGAAGCCAGGAAAGGCAGAAGGCAGAGATAAAGAGGGAGAGCATTCCAGGCAGACAGCCAGTGCAGTTGACCAGAATCTGGAGATGGAGTGTCTTGCTTTGAAGAACAGGAAGGAACCCACGTCACTGGATGAAAGAATACATAGGGGTGGGGTGTGGGGGTGAGGAGAGTAAGATGTAAGAAGACTGGAAAGGTACATTAGGCATGGCCCCTGACTTGGAGAAGTTTACAATTTATAGAAATGATTGGCTTCAGGGGGGACAAAGAAGCCCTTGTCCCACTGAATTTTTTCAAGGCCCAGCTCATGTGCTTCAAATAATCTTATATTTTTTTATCTGTGTCCATGGTATAATTCCCAATAGAAAATAAATTCCTTCAGGGCAAGAACTGTTCAGGTTTTTTTCTTTGTATCTCCAAGTGTCTTGTTCATATTAGGCATATAAAAATTGTTTAATTGAACTAAAAGTGAACTAAATGGATAGGGTGTGGGAGTGAAGGAAGGAGGAGAGGGAGAAGAAAAAGGAGGAGGAGGAGGAGGAGGAGGAGGAAGGGGAGGGGAGGGGGAGGGGAGGGGAGGGGGGGGGAGGAGGAGCTAGTTGAAAAGTATACTGCCGAAATTTGACAAAAAACAGAATGAGTAGTCCTTGATCTCCTGTACCAAAAAGTAGATTTCATTAAAAAAAAAGGGAAATTCTAGGATCATATATTTCAGGCTGGAAGGGATTTTAAAGGGTTCATGAAGTCTAATTTCCTCATTTTAAAGATGAAGAAACTATTCCCAAGAGGTGCTTTCCTGAACCCCCTGATTATCAGCATTCTTTCCCTCTTGAACTTACTTTATCATGTGTTTTATATCAGTACAGAACTTCATAGAGGCAAAGCTGCAAGAAACCTCATAGCACATGTAATCCAACCCCCTCATTTTACAAATAAGGAAACTGAGACCTGGGGGGTGGTTAAGTGATGCCCATGGTCACATGGGTAATAAGAGTCAGAAGCAGAATTTGAACCCAAGTGTCCTGACTTCATAGGCAGTGATCTTCCCCTTGTACCAGCTACACAGGATTCTCACACACATTCCCCCACACATACCCCCAGGAAAATGTAAGGTCTTTGAGGTCAGGGACTGTTTGATTTTTATCTCTGTACCCCCAAGTCCAAACACAATACTGACACATAGTTGGTATTTAATAAAAGTTTGCTGCCATGAAAGGAAATTAAATTTGTCAAAGGCAAAGGGTTTAAAGGCAGGTCTTCTGACTCCAAACCCATTACTCCCATAAAACCACCAGCCACTCAGCCCAAGGGCAGCCTGAGCTTTGAACCAAGTGCTCTGAGCGTGGACCTGAGTGGTCCCCTTTGAGCCACAAGGAAGCTCAGAGCCTGCCTGGGTGTGGGCAGGCAGGTTAGGGAGAGAAGGCAAGTCCTCACTGGGCTAAGAAGGCAGGCATGATACTTTGTGTTAAAAGAGAAATGCAAGTGAATTAAAACCATGGAAGAACTTTCAAATAGCTGAGGTAGGGCCCAGCTGATGGGGCGGTCTGACTCTGCAGGTGCCAGGCTATTTTTAGGGGACACCTGTGTGTGTCCTGCTGGGAAGGTGAGCAGAGGACATCAGGGGATGGGCCCAGACTTTTCCAACGATGACTCCTCCTCCTTTTCCTCCTCCCCCTATCCTCCTCCTCCACTCCCCATCTCCCTCCTCTTCCCCATCCCCTCCTCCTTCTCTTCCCCCTCCTGCTCCTCTCCCTCTCCTCTTCTTCTCCTCCTTTCCCCCCTCCTCCTCCAGCAGCAACTTTGGCCAAAGCAGAGACCCCCCCCCTTTTCTGTGCTATTTAGAAACTTATCAAATTATAGGCAAGCCTCCCTGTTGTCGAAGAGGAGACCCCTGAGCATTGCTGCTAGAGGGAGGTGGGAGGAAAACCATTATGCAGAAATGCTGGATAACCGGGTCATCAGCTCTAATGAGAGAGGGCAAGGGAGACAGAGGCTGGCACGGGCTGGAGCTGGCCAGGCAGCTCCATGATTGCCATGGAAACCTGGGGTGTGTACTGAGGGAATGAGGGCACATTTCTAATTAAACAGGTTTGAGTTAATTTTAATGCCAGCAAGTGAGCACTGAGAAATCCCTACTGCTTTCCCACAGAAGCCCTGATGAGGGCTGATATTTAAAATGTTTTTCTCCTAACCCTGTTGCTTTTATGGCATATCTTCCTCAGGTTTTTCTATTTCAGGCCAATCAAATAAGCACTTTTTAATCATCTCCTATGCCCCATCCCTTCTGCTGGGGATGTGAAGAAAAAAAAGAAAGAAAGAAAGAAAGAATCCCTGCCCTCAGGGAGCTTATAGTCTACTAAGGGAGCTGTAACCTGCATACAGACCATAATTTGAGGAAGGAAAGACCATTGACAGCTGAGGATACTGGGAAGGCTTGGGGGAAGAAATTACCCCTGAGTTAAGCTTTAAGGGAACTCCCAGCAAGGAAAATCTTCCTACCAATTCACATCAGTGCCTTCTCTGCAGCGTATGAGCACTGAGATGTCAGGATACTTGCCCAGGGTCACATAGCCAGCATAGTGAGAGGCAAGATATGAACCCAAGTCTTCCTGACTCTGAGGCCAGCTCTCTATCTACCACACTGCCTTTCTATAAAAACAGGAAGGAAAGAGACAAGCCATGGCACTGGATTAAGTGCTTTACAAATATTATAAGGAAAGGGAAGGGAAAGGAATGAGCATTTATTTATATTGCACCTACCATATGCCACAGACTATATTAAGGGATTGGCTTAGTGGTCTAGCCACTGAGCCACTAGTTGACTCAAATGATGATAATAATGTCTAGCGCCCACCTCACTGGGTGTCGGTCGAGAGAATCAAATGAGCTAATTGTGTAAAGCACTTCAAGTCTCAAAGCACTACCTGAATATTAGTCTTTGGTTCTCTCTCTCTCTCTCTCTCTCTCTCTCTCTCTCTCTCTCTCTCTCTCTCTCTCTTCTCCCTCTCTCTCCCTCTCCCTTCCAGGATAGTGATGTCATTGGCATGAGGAATTCCTAATTTGGGAAGTAACTCCACTGATGCAGAGAAGACACTAAACACACACACACACACACACACACACACACACACACACACAGAAGAGGGAGAGAGTCAGAGACAGAGATAGAAATAGAGACAGAGAGACAGAGAGAGAGTGCTAGGTTGCATAGCTGGCATAGTGCATAAAGTGCTGGTCCTGGAGTCAGGAAGACTCATCTTCTTGAGTTCAGATGTGGCCTCAGACACCAGCTGTGTGACCCTGGGCAAGTCACTTAACCCTGTTTGCCTGAGTTTCCTCATCTGTAAAATGAGCTGGAGAAAGAAATGCAAACCACTCCAGCATCTTTGCAAAAAAACAAAATGTGGGGGGGAGGGCCACAAAGACTCAGACATGACTGAAAACTACTGACTAAGGCAACAGAGGTGTGAAGGGAGAGGGAAAAGGGGAGAGAGAGAGAGAGAGGGAGAGAAGGGAGAGAGAGAGAGAGAGAGAGAGAGAGAGAGAGAGAGAGAGAGAAGAGAGAGTCTTAGAGAGTTCCCTAGGGCACTTAGAGGTTAAGGGACTTGCTAATAGTCAGTCAATTATTCAATCAACAAGCTTGCACATAGGCACTAACAATGAAAATGCAAAAATTAGATAGCCTCTGCCCTCAAGGATCTTCCATTCTATTGTTATGACCACTGTGGTCAAACAGGTTAGAAGGTCTCAGAGGCAGGACTAGGCCACCATGATTCCTTTATCTAAATGTCCTAGACTCCCACCAGATTGGATGACTCAGTCCCCAACCTGCCTTATGGTGTCCTGACCTCATGCTTCTACTCACTGTGCCTGTAACACCCTCCCTTCTCTCTAGGTCTCCATTTTGCCCCAGGCCTTCAAAGTTCAGCTAAAATCTTGGCTCTTCCTTGAGTTCCCGAGATCACTTTTGTCTACAATGACGAAAAATGAAAGGGTGGAACTAGATGACTTCTAGTGTCCATAAAAACTAGATATCCAACAGCTCTAGGCCTATGATTCCCTGGATATTCAGGCTGTGTGACTTTGGACCAGTCATTTAACCTCTCTGAGGCTCAGTCACCTCCTCTATAAAATGATGGGCTTGTGCTAGATGACCTCTCTGCTGCCTTTCAGCTCTAAACCTATGATCTTTTTATGTCCTCTTGCCTTCTCCCTATCTCCTTCCCTCCCCACCTGTCTTCTTCAGGTGCAAACACATAATGTATTCCGAGGACCTGCCCCAGATCTCCGTGGTCTTCATTTTTGTCAACGAAGCTCTCTCCGTGATCCTTCGTTCAGTACACAGCGTTGTCAACCATACTCCATCTCACTTGCTCAAAGAGATCATCCTAGTAGATGACAACAGTGATAATGGTGAGCCTGGGGGCAACAAGCAGGGGGTTTTTTGATTCTTAGCATAGGTGTTTAGTCCTAGGGTGTGAAGGTCACATTATAAATTCCTAGTACCTTTCCCACTCTGGTGCCACTGGGTTCAGGTCAAGAGGAAAGTTTCAGTAATGGGTGAGTGCATCCCAGCTCTGCACTATGGCTCTCTGCATGCTCAGCTAGGCTCCCATTCATTGTGCTGCTCAGGGACTTGGGCTTTCCTTCTTCTGGGGCACGTCAGAAGAGGAAGCTAAACAGAGCATTCCCTGGTGCTAGATAAACAGAATGACTGTCTTCCAAATGCGAAAAGGAGCCCTGGGCTGGGGGTGAGGAGACCTGGATTCATGTGCCAGCCTTGCCATTAAACAAGTGACTTTGGGCAATGATTGTGGGTCTTTCTTTGGTCCTCAATTTCCTTATCTATCAAATGAAAAGGTTGGACAATGTGGTTTCTAAATGGCACTGGATTTGGAATCACGAAGCCTGGATCTGGTGGAAATGTTTGTTAAGTTGAATTATGTTCAAATTTCAGCTCTGATACTTGCTAGCCATCTGACCTTGAGCAAGTCACCATACATTTATGAGCCCTTCATCTTCTCATCGTAAAATAGGAATGGTTGGTCTCAGTGACCTAGAAGATGACTTCTGGTTCTAAATCCTACAGTCCTTCCAACTGTCAAGTGACTCTTTGAGTTAAATACCCAATCTTAACTGGGCAACACTAGTGTGCCTTCCAAACTCTAACTCTTATGAGCCATGATCCTTTGTGAATTAACAAGGCTTTACTAAGGGCCCCAAACAGTGCTGAGTTCTTGCTCCCCTATGCTGGAGAGGAGACAGGAGGCTCAGAAGACATGATTCCTACCTTTGGGGATCTCATATCCCATTTGGAGAGACAGCTTAGACATGTATGCAATGATGCTCAAGTGAGAACAAGGCATACATGCCATTTATTTTAAGGCTGTGTGATCTCAGGCAGGCCATTTAATTGGTGCTATTATTAACCCATGTGCATAAAGGCTATGAAAATTCTTCATGGCAAAGACACCCCCTACAGTCTATATAAGTTTCCATAAATTATTCTTGATCTCCTGTATCCCTGAGGTCTCCTCCAGGTGCATATGCTATTAGCTGGACACTGCTTAATAAGCCTTAGCTACATGCCTGAAGCATGTAGAGGTTAAATGACTTATTCATAGTCACGCAGCTAATAGCTGTCAGAGGTAGGATTTGAACCCAGGCCTTTCTAATAAGTCTAGAAGGCTATTCACTATGGCTTCTAAATGTTATCATTCTACAAACTGAAGAAGAGAGTGTTGAAAGGATGTAGAGTCCAGAAGCGTTCCTAGTAGGCATAAGGACTGGATCTGGGATTTCATTGTTATAGGAAACTCCCAGGTGAGGAAATTCTTTCTGCCCATGCAGATTGGCACCTTCTCCATAAATTACAGTCTTAGAGAATTGCCTACAGAGAGATTAAGTGAGTTACCCAGGGTCACACAGACAGCCTTTATCAGAGACAGGGCTTGAACTAAGGTCTTGCTGGTTTCCAGGTCAGATCTCTATCTGCTATGCAATTCTCTTTCCCTTGATTACTCTTAAGGGAAATATTATTAGGGGCAAAATTATTATTAGGGGCAAAGTTAATCCAGGAAGGTTTCTAAGGGAAAGTGACAAGTCAGTCATGTTCTACCAGACCCTATGCTGTGAACATAGCAAGGACTTAAGCATTGCTTGTAATATTGTATTACATTAAGTGAAAAAAAAAAGTTGTGTTGCATGGCGTTATATTGCATCATGTTGTGTTGCATCAGCTTGGATTTCATTGCTTCATTCTTCCTTTGGCGAAGCTGATCAGAAGGGATTTGCTACCTCCCACTTCCTTCACTTTGAGCCCTGTCGATCTGTTCTTTTTTCAGTGGAGTTGAAATTTAATCTGGACCAGTATGTAAATAAGAGATACCCAGGGCTGGTGAAAATAGTCCGCAATACCAAGAGGGAAGGACTCATCCGAGCTCGCATCCAGGGCTGGAAAGCAGCAACCTCTCCGATTGTGGGTTTCTTTGACGCCCATGTGGAATTCAACATTGGCTGGTAAGCTTCTGTGATGGGAACCAAAGATTTCTGAGCACACTGCCCTCCTCCTGGGGGATCACGTGGCCTCGCATGTATTATCACATTTGTAGGCTGTTTCCGTAGTGCAACAAATTCACAAATAAAATTGTCTCGGCAGCAGGGGAATAGAAGAGCTCAGGGGATGGGGTTCTCTATAGACCTGCTTAGGCAGTGCAACTGCTGGAACCTGCCTGGGTATTTCTGGTTATTGAACTTTGGATGCAAAAAAATTGTGCTTTCGTGAACTGCTAAGAATTGCATCCTGTTCCTCTTGCCTAGCTTGGTGGAGACACACAGAAATACTGGACAAGGAAATTATTCTGAGCCCCCCAAAGCAGAGGATTCCCTGGATGCTTATCCACACTTATTAGGGTCTCCTTCCAAGCCATTCATTCTTTCTCTCAAGAGAATCTTAATTAGGGGGTTGGCCACCTTGACTCTGGTTTGTTTTGTTTAAGGTTTGGTTTCTTCCCCGTGACGTACTTGGAAAGAAGTTGGATTCTCTTATCAGGTTTTTGCTTTTACAATGAAAAGCCAGACTAAAGATGAAGTCATTGTTCAGGGCTGCAGAATTGACAGCGCAGGAAGCTAGGCTTAGAGATGAAGCCCTGCCCGCTAAAAGTATGTCTTCCTTTTTAATAAGTGGAAGAGAAGTAAATTAGGAAAAGAGAAGAGGGATAAATAGAAAGGCAGAAGGAAAAGAGAGAAAGAGAGAAGAGAAAGAAGGGGGAAAAGAGGAACAAAGAAAATGAGAAAAAAGAAGAGGGGAGGAAAAAAGGGAAGAGGAAAAGAAGTAAAAAGAAAAACAGAATGAGAAGGAAAGAAAGAGGAAGAAAATATGGAAGAGAACTAGTAGGAGGAAATGAGGAAGTAAAGAAAGAGAAAAAGATGAGAAAGAAAGGATGAAGAAGAGGAGGGGGATGAGAGAAAAGGAAAGGAGGAAGAAGAAAAAGAAAAGGAGGTGGAAAAGGAAGAGGCAGAGGAAGGGGAACAGAAGAATAGGGAGGGAAAAGAGGAAAGGAAGAGGAAAGTGAAAAGGAGAAGAGGAGAAGGCACAGGAAGAGAAGGAGAAAAGGGAAGAAAAAAAGGAGAAAGAAGAAGAATATGGGGACAGGGGAGAAAGAAGAGAATTGTTATTCTGCTATTTAGCCAATTTCTGGCAGCTAAAAGCTTCTGAAAAGAATCTATGTATTACCCTGTTCAAGGAGTTTTGGTCCAAAGTGAATGACAACCACGTTGGCCCAGTAATGCTGAGTGCTGGGTCCTTGGTGTTCCAGGAGCTGATGAGGACACAGAGAATGCTTTGCTCAGGAGTATTTGCCAATAACTCCTCCTGACCTAGGCTCGGGCAGCTGAGCTTTCATTCATTATTTTTAGTTACAAAAGCATCTGTTCTTGCCAGGAGGCCAGACACAAAATAAAAGGTCGGGTTCTTACAACAGAGCTGGGATTTGGTCCAGCGGTCTTTTCTGTTTGGGGACTCACCTTCCCTTTCGGTATTTTAAACACACCCAACTCCAAATCTGACACTCTGCAAGCTCAGGGTCTTGGCCCCAGTCACTGGGATTATTCAAGTCTTCTCTTCTTCGGACAGCTTCCCCAGTCCTGATGCTTGCAATGGTCAGAGCCTCAGTCCCTTTCCCTCCCCCACCCCCATCCATTTCTTTTGCCCTGCTTTTCAGGCTCAGGATGCCCACTCCCTCCCAAGCCTCAGAATCCAGTGATGGCAGGTGGCACTGGGGCCAGAGCGTGCAGTTAATCTTTCCACGTCAAAATACAATTTTTAAAAATGCGTAATTTTAATTTTCAAGACTGAGAAGCTGTTTTTATCCACTGGCAAATAGACCCTTATCCTGGAGCTGCAGCACATGAGGCTCCAGATTCATTAGCCGCCTGGCATTTACACGAAGTTTTTTGGTCTCTGAAGCACTTTACAAACATTAATTAATTAATCCTCCCTCACATTGCTTCAAGGCAGGTAAATAACATTCACCTACTTTATGGGAAGCAGACTGAAACAGAGAAATTGACCAAGACATTCAGGGGCTAGAATAGAATTCCACACAGCCTCGGCAAACTTTTTTTTTTTAGCAAAGTCCAAATAAGGCCAGCCCCAAGCCTGAACTTCATGCTACAAGGCAGAGGTCATTATTGTGGGGTTTGGGGCTGACCAAAGTTTAGCCATGATTTTTCTGGACGTAGATCAAATGTTCGATGGGGGAGCAGCATGGAGTCATAGGAACAACACTAACCAGGTGCTGGGAGATCTGGGTTTGAATCCCACCATTGCTACTTACCAGCTGTGTGACCCTGGGCAAGTGACTTAATTTCTCTGAGCCTCAGTTGTCTCTTCTATAAAACGGGCATGATGATCACATGAAAGGGTGTTATGTGACATAGAACAAAGACCTAGATTGGTAGGCAGGAAACAATTTGTGAAAGGATTGAAATGCTAAGCTAAAGAGTTTGCATTTTATCTTTGAGGTAGTGGGGAGCCACTGAAGTTACTTATGTGGGGGAGTAACATTTAATCAAGGCAGCTGAGTGGCCCAATGGATAGGGCATAGGGCCTGGAGTCACAAAGATGAGTTCAAATTTGGCTTCAGATATTTGCTAGCTCTGTGACCCTGGGCAAGTCACTTAACCCTTTGTGACTCAGTTTCCTCATCTGTAAAATGAGCAGAAGAAGGAAATGACAAACCACTCCAGGATCTTTGCCAAGAAAACCCCAAATGGGGTCCCAAAGAGTAGGACACAACTGAAACAATTGAACAACAACAACATTGAATCAAATACAGTAATGGATATGGAGGTGCTTTGAAGACTGAAAGAAAAAAAAATCCATCTAAATTATGTAATTCCGGGTTCCCAGATGTGCTAGCATCCCTGAGGCAGAGCAGAACTGAGGCTGGGTAATGTATCAGTCAGACAAAATGTCACATAGATGTAATATCTACACATTTGACAGAATTTTCTAGCTGTTAGCATCTGTTCAGCACCATGTAAACATGTTCTTATCCTGGTGCCCCGTACTGTCCTTGGGGATCTTGCCCCAGATTGAGACGTCTCTGCTATGTCATGCAGAGACTATGGAATTGTCTTCCTGGTTACCAAGTTGGAGAAGGGAGCCTTGCTTGGCAGATTCTAGTAGTATTACAGAAGGAGGAATGGATTTGGAGTTGTGGGGCCTGGGATCAAATCATTTTTCTGTATTTAGTGTACATGCCATCTTAGGCAAGGCCTCAGTTTCCTCTTTTGTTGAATGAGGAGTTTATATTAGATGGTCTCTGAGGTCCCTTCTTGCTCTAATTGTCTGGGATGCTGTAATCTTTTCCCTCTTATAGTTCAGACCCCTTAGAAATGAGCCACGGCATGCGAAGGCTGGGGTCCTGGAAAGATTCCCAAAGTATGATGTCTCTGGGGACTTGGGGGTCTTTTAAGAGCTTAGCTCTCTGTCCATTCTGGAATGAGGGAAGCCTGCATGCCTTTCCACATAGCCTGCAGGAGGGGGTGCCATCTGGAATCAGCAACGTTCCTGGGCACCTCCCGATACAAGAAAAGTAAACGGCTCTTGGGTCCATCTGCCTAGTCACTGACTCTTCTCTGAAGGTCCCCAGGAAGAAGGCACAGGCCACATCAGACAGGGGGACAGGATGGACTTGGAAATAAGATGTGAAGGCAGCATCAGGCAATATTGGGACAATACTTAGCACCCTGTTGGAGCTACCATCTATCCACCCTTCTGGTCCTTTGGTGATGGGGACCCTCCTTCCACTGGAGGAAACAGCTGTGGAATCTGGGTAATTGTTTCCCTGTCTTGCATTTGGCCAAACTTTATTGCTTTTATAGAGGTTGAGTGGTAGATTCAGCTAAGTGCTGGACTTGGAGCCAGGAAGCCCTGGATTCAAATCCTACTCTTAGCTATGTGATCCTCAGTTTTCCTCTTCTGTAAAATGGGGTTTATAAAACCTGTAGTCCTTGCTTTATTACATTGTACTGAGAATCACAGGAGATGATGCATGTTGAAAACTTTAAAGTGCTATGTAAATCTCAGTTATTATTGTTATTTTCAGCCATGTTGGGGAGAGTTCAAATATGTGCCCTAATTCCTGTCTGTTCTGCTTCCATTTCCAGAATGAGGTATGAGCCTAGTCTCTCCCTGGAAGCCTTACTTTTGTCTTTGAATCCTTAGGGCTTTTGATAAATGCTTGTTGCTGCATGGATCATTAGAAATTAATCTTGGGGAGCACGTTTTTGTGATCCAGAATTTCCTTCTCTCTGGGTCCCTGAGGCACCTCAGGGTAGGGTGCCAATCAGGCCAAGTCAGGGGCATCCCAGCCAGAAAGGGCCCTAAGTGAAGGGCTTGCGCAGGGTCAGTCAAGAGAGCCTTAATGTGGCTGATTCAAAGAGAAAACAAGCCATCTGCCTCATCAGGGTGCTCTTAGGAGTAATGAAAATGGTGAAATGAAAGGAAGCCATGCAGGGTGAGGGAGGGAGGCTGGACCTCCTCTGGGAAAGGAAGCAAAGCAGGGCTATCTCACTACCTTACAGTAACTTTGACCCAGAGCCTGGAGACTATGTCCTATGTCTATGTGCCAGGTACCGAGCTAAGTGCTAGGATGGTACCTGTCTATGGTGCCATCATCTTCCCAATCATCCAGGCTCCCAACTTAGGAGCCATCCTGGATTCCTCACCATCTCTCATCTTCCATATCTAATCTGTTGCCAAGGCCTATTGATTTCACTTCTGCATCTTTTCTTGAATATGCTCCCTTTTTTCCTCTGACACTGCCTCCGTCCCAGTACAGGTCCTCATCACCTCACTCCTGGACTATTGTAATAGCCTACAGGTAGGTCTGCCTGCCTCAAGTCTCCAAACCATCCTCCAACCACTAAATTGTGCTTTCTAAAGCACAGGCTGATGTCACCCCCACACACATCTAGATTCAACCTCCAGGCTCCCTATTACTTCCAGGATC